TTTTTTTTTTTTTTTAAGAATCTTTGAACGATCGTAATGAAATGTTTTTTTTTTCTTCTTGTTGTTATTGTTGTTTCTTTTTTCTTTTGTTCTCATTATCTACAGAATATCTCTGCGTTATCCACATGTTTGGATCTCTTTTTCTATTGCTTCTTGCTGTACATTTACGGTTTAGAGATGGGATGACAGGAGAGTGCTGAGGGATGAAGAGGATGAAGTATAGGGCGGCGTAGTTAAGATAATAATAAAAGAACAATAGTAAGAAAGGAATAAAATTAACTCTTACTACTTTCAGACCCTACACAAAATTCTTTTCTTTCTTTTCTTGGCTCCCTTCCTCTGTTGACCCCTGTAAAGTATAGGAATGCATGGAGGGGGGCCATTCTGAAAATATAATAAAAAAAAATACTTATACAAATATTATCTATGCCGTTGCATGTGTAAGTGAATCGCCGTGATCTATCGCCAGATGTTCTTATTTGTTAAGAAGATGTCGAGTGAATGGAGAAACAGCGTAGACTGATTCATTAAGAAAGTGTATGTGTAAAAATACACTGATGTATTTATGGATAATATATGTTTTCCTTTTATTCTTTTTGTTTCTTTCTTTTAGTCTTCTTGTTTGTAAACCAATGGCCTGCGAGCCATAGGTACACTGAAGAAATGAAATCACGAAGGAGGATAAAGATGAGAGAACTGTAGAGAATAATTGAACAAAGTATTTTATTTATTTTTCTTTCTTCTCTTTTGTTCTTTTTTTTTTCTTTTTTTTTTCGTGCCGCTGTATAGGGGGCAGCTGCTTGTTGCAGCGGCATATTTTGTTTGTTGCTCAATTCCTTGCTTTACACAATATGTGTATTTTCATTTTTTTTTTTTGAGAAGTATGATAAGAATGAGAGGTGCAAAAGAAGAAAAAAAAAAACGGGAAAGGAGCACTTGGGGATATATGAGAGACCTTTGGAGTGTGGTGAGACACAAATAGTTTGGTATCAAGTTAATATTGTCTTTTTTATGTGTTTCTCTGCTCTTCACTGTATTTGTCTCCTTCAATATTTATGAATCACAATGAAAAAAAGAAAAAAAAACATTGTTGTGTATTTTGAAAATGTGCTGTCTTTTTTCTCTATTTCCTTTCCTTTGACTGTATATGCATTCGCGATTATGTGGTTTTAAAGCTGACTGATCATTCGCATTGCTTCAAATGAGAACTCTTTGTTATTACAGTCATATTTTTCTTTTTCTTTCTGTATATATATATATATATATATGTGGAGAGAAAAAAGAGATGTATGTATGTAATATATGTGTGTTCGTTTGAGTCTTTTTGGTATTTCTCTTTCTTTCTTGTTTCTTTTTTTTTTGCTGCCATATAAGTTGTCCTTTCTTCTTCTGTATATTATAGAGCTCTGCATAGAAGTGTAAATGAGCATAGAGGGCGATGCTGCGGTGCGGTCCATCGCAGTTCTGTTGCCCCCCGGTGTGTATGGCGCCACACCAGCAGTGCCCGATAAATCCAACATCTCAACAACAAGTGCTGCTGCCCCTGTTGGCATGGACTCTCTGCAGGGATCATCTGCGGTGTTGGCTTCATCCTCTGTGGATCGATTTGATAAACACCGACGACTGCGCCGTGCGATGGCGGCGAAAGAGGCAACATTAATGGAACTCACGCGACTTCTTGTGAATAGTATGGAACCTCAACAAAGAGTGAAAGGTAGTAGTAATAGTAATAGTAGTGGTGAACCGGCTAATACGGCGGGTGGAGGTAGTGAAAAAGAGTCACATGGTGAGATGGACAAGACTGTGAATACTACATCTACTCCCGCTCCTATTCATACTTCTACAGAGGCGGAAGTGAAATATCTTCGAGAGGAGAATAAACGATTAAGAATTCGTGAGGCCACTCGTGCGAAGGAACAGGCGAAACTAGAATCCCTTGTTTACGATCTTCGTCGAGAGTTGGAAACTGCTGGGGAGACTCTGCGTGATCAGACAGCTGCAATGAAATGTGTAGGCAAAGAGGTAGCACGAATGGGTCCATATCGAATGATTAAAACACAGCGTGAACAACAGGTAAAGTATGTTCCTCCAGAAACTCTTGAGGAAAAGAGTAGTGTTGTGGATTCGTCTGAGTTACAATCTCTTAAAGAAAAGGTGAAAAGTCTTCAGAGTAATCTAGCAAAAGAACAGAAACGTCGTGAGCATTTTGAAAGACGTTGTGCGGAGTTGCAGGCAATATCATTACGATATAAGTTGACTGAATTACGCAGAACTGTAGAAGGTGATAATGAAGAGAACGTTGATATTTCTTTACAAGGTGCTACTGTTAATGATAATGATAATGATGGTAATAGTATTGCTTCGGCCTCTACTGCTGCAGGTGGTGGTGAAGAAGAAGAAAGAAGAATCTCGAGAAAGGGAAAAGTAACTGAGTCTTTAGAAAAACCTGTAAGTTCAAATGGTGATGGTGTTATGAAAACTATTCAATCTATAGAAGAAACATACCGTAGTGCACGTCGCAGATGGAGTCGTCAAGAAAAAGAGTTTAAACGTTATATGCAAATACTTGAGTCTACAATATCGCGAATGGAACGAAATATGCCATCAGGTAAACTTAACACAGCATCACTTTTTAACGTGACACTTCAACTAGTATCTTGTGAAGGGTTATTAAATAGACGAAACAATGGCATTGGGTGTATTGACCCTTACGTTGTACTTTACAGCCCAATTGGTGAAAAGGCTTTAGAGACACTCCCACGCGAAGATACTGTTTCTCCGCAGTTTGATGAAGGAGGGGATGTTGTGACCCTTAAGATGGTTCAAGGTTCTCCTTGGTATGTTCTTGTTGAGGTTTACTCACGAGGACTAAACAATGTACGGCTCTTCTTGGGAGAAGCAAAAATTCCAGTTGAATTATTATTATCGGATGGAGTCATAATGGGAAAAGAAAGACAACACGTGGTGAAACTTCGTCCGCGGGATCGTGAACCAGATGGAGAGATTGTAAAGTCTGCACATCGTTTAGGACAAGTGGTGTTTCGAGTAACAGCAACAGTAGTGGATGCTATTCCTCTTCATAGGATTTCTCGTCGAGCTGTACGCTTTTCAGGGCGATTGATTTCACCCCAACAAGATGGTGAAGTGCCTGGTTCTGCAGAGTATTTATCGGAAAAGATAAAAAATTACAATCCTCCTCTTTTAGTTCCTAGTAATAATACTATAACTATTCGAGTAGTGAAAGCGAAAGATATTCTTAAAGGCGAGTCTGGAATGAATTTTAATCCTTTCGTAGTTATTTATGACCTTTCTGGTAGTAAAGAGTTACTACGTACTCCAGTGGCTGTGGGTACCAATAATCCTTCATGGGATAATTCTATTCAGGCAAGTCTTACGCTTACTACTGGAACCCTACAAGAGGGTATTATTTTTCGTCTAAATAATTATAATAGGGATGGAAAGGAAGAGTTTCTTGGAGAGGCATACTTTTCAAGAGAAGAGATGTATTCTGGTAAAGAGTGGCATGAATTAACTCTTCGTCCTCGCAAAGACGAGATGTTAATGTATATACGAGAAAACCAAAATCGACTTGGTAAATTGCTTATCCAGTGTATACAGGAGAATAAAGGGAATAAAAATATCCTTCAAAACAAGGAACTACATTCAACAATAGAGCCCATTCGTAAAATCCTTGGACATACAGAGTCCTCCAAAATAGTTCAGGATGAATCCAGTACAAATTATAGTAAGAATGTATTACAACCTTTACCGATTCAAATATATGTGGAGGCTTGTAAAGGTCTTCATGGTTATTACAGAGAAGGAAAAGTATATGTGCGTGTTGTAGTACCGAATTCTACTTCTTTTATTACACCTGTTTTGCCTTGTATATCAACTCTTTCCTGGAGTAAAGCTGAGGGTTCTACAGTAGCGATGTTGCATCCACTACAATCTGGAGTTATTGAATTTCATGTTATTGAAAAAGGTAATCAAGAAGGAGAAAATGAACGTCCACTTGGTTATGCACAGTTTTCTGTTCTGGATCTTTTCCGTGGAGGATTTGGTAAGAAGGAGTTATTACTTACTGCATCTCCACATACAACAGAGATACCAGTTTGTGAAAATTCCAATAATCTTGGCAGTGTGGTGATTTCCTTTTTACTCCTCAGTGAAGAACCATTAACTGGGTCGCCGCGACAGGTGTGTGCCGCTACAAATGACTCGAATGAGAATAACAGGAAGAAGGAGGAAGAGAAGAAAAAAGAAGAAAAAAATGAGAAACCAGAAAAGAAAAAGGATGAAAATGAGGAGGAGGAGAAGGAGGAGGAGAAAACAATTTCAAAGGGAACTTTAGGAGATCCACAGGTTCCATCGTCTCCAACTTCATTACAAATGCGTATTTATGTGAAAGAAGGTCATGATCTTTTAGACTGTGATCACTCTATGTTTAATGTGCTGGGATTGACGAATCCACGGGTTATGGTGTGGGTTGGACCTGACCATGTCTTCACAGTCTCTGAAAAACCGAATACGGTGAACCCCAAATGGACCCAAGAAGAGGGGGAAGTTCTCGTTTGTGCTCAGTCAAGTCAGATCATTAGATTTGAGGTACAAGATGTGGATGTTGCGGGATTTGATTCGATGGGTTGTGCCACTATCCATGCCTCTGAAATTATTGCATCACCTGGAGAGCACAGTTTACCAGTGATATTAGATGGGAAACAATATGGGATATTGGATGTTGTTTTTACATTGAATGAGAGTGGCACCAACCAAAACTAATTCAGTTTCACTCTTTCCCTCTCCTTGAATACGAAGAAGAAAGAAAAGAAAAAAAAAAGGATTGTTACTTTATTCTGTTTTTTTTTTTTTTTTTCTCTTTCTTTTTGAGGTTTTTCCATAGACGCACTATGATCATCATTTCATACCACGAGAAGTTAAGATACGTTTTTTTCTTTTTTTTTTGAATAGAGGTGATTGCCGCTTTTATATACATAGAGAGAGAGAGAGAGTGGGAAAGAAAGATATAGAGAAAGATATAGAAGGAGAAGGAAGTGCATATTGAGAAATAAGTAATTGCGAGGCCTGCCGTGGTATTTAGTGAAGATGAAAAACATTGTATGGGGTAAGTTTGAAGGAGAAGGGGTTGGGTGGGAGTGGGTTGTGCTTTATTTTCTTGTTGCGATAATATTTCTCAGATAGATTTTTTAGTTTGTAATTTTTTATTTTTTTCTTAATTTTCTTTATTTATTTTTTCCTTTATTAACTCAGCTTACTTACTTTACTATTCTATTTTTTTTTTTTTTCTTAAGTGGTTGATATTTTTTATTTTTTTTTCATCTTTCCATAACTCTTTTTATTTATTTCTTGTGTTCCAGCAGCGTTTGTAGACTCCACGGGAGGGCGGTTCTCTTGCAAGTAATTTGCCTTCCTCCTTTCCCTTCTCTCCTCTGCAGGTCGGAGTATGGCAGGACTGAAGATCAATCTAGAGGAGCTGGAGAGCGATGATGACGGCACGGCAAGAATAGCCCACGACGAGATTCACCTTGGCGAACTCACAGTTTCTTCCGAGGGACTCACAACGTCTATGGGTTACAAATACGGACTTTCACCTGAGGATGTAGAACTTAGTGCTACTGGTTTTTTGGGTCAGGGCAGTAGTGGGTCTGTTCGACGAGCAACACATCGCAAGACTGGAAAGACTATAGCTTTGAAGGAGATAAAGATCACAAGTCAGGTACATTTACAGGAGATAAGAAGAGAATTAGAAACACTTCACCGAGATTGTAGTACTTCACCTTATTTGGTGGAATTCTATGGTGCTTTCTGTCATGAAGGTTCTGTTTTTATAGCTATGGAGTGTATGGATGGTAGTTTAGATAATGTAATAAAACCTGTTCCTTTGGAGGTATTGGTAAGTGTTACACGTAGTATTCTTCGTGGACTTTGTTATTTACACAAAAAGCGACATCTTATACACCGCGATTTAAAGCCTAGTAATATTCTTTACAGTTATGATGGGCGTATAAAAATATCGGATTTTGGTGTAAGTTCCTCTTTAGAATGTACCCGTGGAGATGCGCATAGTTTTGTTGGGACATTAGTTTATATGAGTCCTGAGAGATTGAAAGGTGAAGCCTACTCACTCTCAGTGGATATATGGTCACTTGGTCTTGTTATTGCTGAACTTGCACTAGGAAGATGTCCTTTTAATGATAGTTTAGCTCGTAATAATAGTTCAACTGAAGCTTGTTTTTGGATACTACTACAACATTTATCCAGTGATGATCCGGTGATGACTTTTCCACCAACAATGGATGCATCTTTAGCAGATTTAATTTCTCGATGTATTCAAAAAGACAAGGAGAAACGCGCTACATGTGAAGAATTACTACAACACCCATTTATTACCCAACAAGATGAAAAAAATGATCGATATCTTATTCAACAGTGGCTTTCCACAATGAAGACAAAGAAAGAAGTCACTTCCCCAACAAACAGGTCTAGCAAACCTGCAACGTCAAGACCAACATCAGATGCACCATTGAATCTCGATGATGAGCTCCACAAACTGCTTCAGTGAGTCATACCCTCTTCCTTCACAGCGAAAAAAAAAAAAAAAGAAAAAAGAAAAGAAAGAAAAAAAGAAAAAGAAATGAAAGAAAAAAGAAACAAAAATGAAAGAAAAGAGTAAAAAGTAAAAAAGAAAAAGAAAAAAGAAAAAAAGAGAAAGAGAAGAAAATAAAAAGAAGAAGGAAATAATAATAATAAAGAAGGAGAACACGGAGACCTTTGTAGCGAAATGAAATAAAACAGAAAACAAAGGGATGATGATGATGAATGACATTTCATCAATGAATAGTAGTAGAGGTTTATGAAGGGAGTTGGACACGTGGAACTCCCGGCGTCTTAACTTTTCCCTGTACTCTTTGGAAAAGTGAAAAAAGAAACGAAAAAAAGAATGAGACGCTTGATGTGAACACTCCTTTCTCATTCCTTCCTTTTACTTTCTTTTATCTATTGTGATTATATTATTATTATTATTATTATTATTATTATTGTTATTATTCTACTGGGTTTTGGTTGCGTTGCTGATCTTTTGATCGTTTCTTTACTCAAATCTACAAGCCTATTCCTCTTCTTTTTTTTGTTTTGTTTTGTTTTCTTTCATCTGCAATTCTTCGTTTCTGCATGAACGGGTTTTGTGATACTGTTTCGTTTCGAGGGTTTCTGTTTCTCTTTCTCTCTCCTTTTTCTTCTTTTTCTTTCTTTCTTTCTTCTTTTTCTCCATTTCCTGTAGAGAAAATGGGGATGCAGGAGAATGTGGTATACTTCTTCAATTAGGGAAGATGCCAGGTGAAATTTGGCTCTTCGTTTCTCTTTTTCTTTCTTCTTTGTTTTTTTTTTTCTTCTTTGTTTTTCTTTTTTTTTTTTTTCTTTATAATTCAATGAAAGTTTGACGTTTGTTATTATTGGTAATTATTACAAATTACTATAATAGTGATAATAAATAATATTAATGGTTATTGTTAGAATGGTGGTGATGATGATAATGGAAATGTGATATTTCTCTACTTGCCCATTTTACTATATAAAGAGTTTTTTTCTTCTTTGAAGTTATGGAACCCCTTTTTTTGTTAAATAAAAGACCATGAGTAAAGTCATCTTATACTTCTTTGTCTTTCTGATGGGTAATTTCTTTTCTTTTCTTTCTTTTTTCTTCCCTTTTTTTTTCTTTCATCTGTAGAGAGAAATACAGAAGGAGGGACATTTATAATTCTTTCTCTTTCTTCTAATAGCAGAACTGCAGAAGAAGTGTGAAGATACACAAATATATAAATATATATATATTTATATATATATTTATATTTATAGATATATACATCACAATGAATGCAGATGAGATACGCAAGGCGCAACAGGCCTCACGAGATGCCTATCTGCGCAAACAGGCGTTAAAGCGAGAAAAGGCCGCATCCGCTGTATTGCAAGAGAAACTTGCAGAGATTGAAGCTGGTGTCATTCCACAGTCTCTAACAGAAATTGAGTTGTTGACGAAACGTGCAAAGGAGGTACAAATAGCCGCACAGTTGCAAAGTACAGCACAGATGCGACAGGAACGTATTGATCAGGATGGTCCTGTATCCAAACACCAATCTGAACAAGAACGGGATGTTGTAAATACACTTGATAATAAATCAGAGCTTTTATTTCAAGAGGGAATACCACCAAGTTTTAAAGAAGAAAATCATAATTATGTGGAAATGGATAAATCTGTAATTAATGAACGTATTGAAAAGCATGCATTTGTTGAGGAAAAAACAGAAGATCAAATTAAACAAGAACGAGCAGAAGCATTACAAAATCAACAATCTCGTCTTCAAGAACAAAGACGTTCACTTCCTATTTATCAAGTACGTGATACACTTATTAAACTTATAAAAAATAATTCTGTAGTGGTAATTGTAGGTGAAACAGGTTCTGGTAAAACTACTCAATTACTTCAGTATTTATATGAAGAAGGTTTTCATGAAAATCTACTACCACTAAATACAGAAACTCCTATAGAAGAAAGTAATTCTAAAGATAAAAGTACTATACAAGAAGAAACTCCTATAAAACGATTAATTTGTACTCAACCAAGGCGTATTGCCGCTATGAGTGTTGCCGAGCGTGTTGCTCAAGAGATGGGAACACGTTGTGGAAGTATTACGGGATATAAAGTACGTTTTGATGATCGTTCAGGTCCATTAACACGTGTTCTATTTGTAACAGATGGTATGATGTTAAAAGAACTTGTAAATGATCCAGATCTTCATAGTGTTGCGGCTATTATGGTGGATGAAGCTCATGAACGTTCTCTCAATACAGATATTCTTCTTGGTTTATTAAAAGATATTATAAGACGTAATAAACAGTTACGTGTAATTGTCGCTAGTGCGACTATTAATGCAGATAAATTTAGTAATTTTTTTAATGGTGCACCTATTTTTACAGTAACTGGACGTACATTCCCTGTTGAAGTCTCATACCTCACAGAACCCGTTGCCGATTATGTGAAGGCCAGTGCTGAATCTGTTCTTTTACTACATGCGACTAAACCTCTTCCAGGTGATATTCTCGTCTTTTTACCTGGACAAGATGATATTGAGAATTGTGCGGCGGCTATTCGTGAAGGTATAGCGAATGCTGGAGGACAATTACGTCCTTTACTAGTACTACCAATCTATTCTTCTCTTCCACCATGGGAACAGAAACGTATTTATGAAGCTCCTCCACCAAATACTAGAAAAGTTGTAATTGCTACTAATATTGCAGAAACATCTATTACTATTGATGGAGTTGTATATGTGGTGGATTGTGGATTATGTAAACAAGATTATTATAATCATCGAGCCATGGTAGAGGAATTACGTGTATTACCCATTTCTCAAGCTAGTGCTACTCAACGAGCAGGACGAGCTGGTCGAACCCAAAAAGGAGATTGTTATCGATTATATACAGCATATACTTTTCGAAATGAATTTCCACAAGAAACCGTTCCAGAAATTTTACGTTGCTCTATGAGTTCTGTTGTTTTGCAGTTGAAAGCCCTTGGTATCAATAATTTACTCCAATTTGAATTTATTGATGCCCCTTCTACAGCTTCATTGGAACGAGCTTTAGATCATTTATATCTTTTAGGAGCAATGAAACAAGATGGACGATTAACACTTACAGGTCGACGGATGGCGGAATTCCCAATGGATCCATCATTAAGTAAATGTATTATTCGGGCAAATGCATTAGGTTGTCTACGGCATATGTCTATAGCTGTAGCGATGCTTACATTAGATTCTATTTTTGTCACCACACGTGATTCTAAAGAACGTATTGCGATGTTAAGTGCGAGAGATAAACTCTTCTCTGCGGGGAATGGTGATGTTGTGGGATATGTACGATTGATGGAAGAATGGTTACGTGCAGGACCGTTAATGCAAGAGTTCTGTCAAACACATTCTGTTAACGCCAAATCTCTTCTCCGAGCTCGAGATGTATTAGATCAAATACTAAAGACATGTGAACGTGTAGGTTTTGAATTACCCAGTAGTACAGAAGATGTTTCACTCTCTCTTGAGACTTTTACAAAGGCATTACTTTCGGGATTTTTTATGAATGTCTCAAAACTGAATATTGACAGACGAACCTATTTAATAGTTCGTCCAATAGATTCAACTGTAAGTCGTAATCATGGCAACCATACGAATTCCTCTTTAAATGGTGAAGAAGTGGCAACGGCTGAATTACATCCATCTAGTTATCTCTTCCGTTCGGGAATGGCCCAACAAGAAGAGAAGAATAAAGAAGATGCGCTTCTTTCAACTGCACCAGTTCTACGCGAGAGACCACAACTTGTGGTTTTCACACAATTACGGTGCACAACAAAGCGGTATATGATGCATGTTACTGCTGTTCCATCTGCAGAGTGGGTACTGGCGGCAGCACCTGTGAACTACTTTACAAAGGAAGAGTTGGAGGCGAATCTGCGAAAGCGTACACATGATTAATGAATGGAAAGAGGGATAAAGAATGTGGGAAAAAGTAAAAAAAAAAAAAAAAGAGAAAGTGTGTGGATATTCTCTCATTCGTTTGTTTCTTCTTTTCATTTTTTTTTTCTTTTGCGTTTCCTCTTTTTCATTCTTCTTGTTTTTGTTTATATATATATATACATATACAATTATATATACATTTACACATTCTTTCGTTTCTCTTTTTTTGTTTTTCTCTTGTAATTTCTTTTTATTTTGTGTGTTTTAATTTTAATCTATTTATTTCGTACTGTAATATCTTTTTTTCTTTTTCTTTTTCTTTTTCTTTTTCTTTTTCTTTTATTTTTCATAGGAACAGGCGGTTGTGGGTTTTGACCTGCACCGCTGTGGTGAATGCTTCGCCGTTCGCTGCGGTGTTGGATGCTGCAGCTGCACTCCATGCCCACCCCAAACCCATTCTGTTATCAATTTCACATTCCATCGCAGACGTATGAGAACTTTATTCCAAACGGGCAGACATGTGAAGTCTCGCATCGTGGATTGGCGTGGGTGCATCCACTCAGCAATGGAATGTTTGAACAGTACGGCAAAGAAGTCGCCAGTTTATTTATTGCCCCACGACATCTCTCTATTACAGTCTATCAACACATAGAGTGGGATAAAATTGAATGGAGTCTTAGTTCCTTTATAGGCCATTATCTGGTGTTTAATAATACCTGTGTACCCCCTGCAGAGGAGTATACACTTTTAGAAGATGATCTTATCACACACGAAGATGATTCGGAAGTACTGCAGTGTATTAAAGAATTACTGCGAGAACAAGTCCGTCCAATGGTGCAGCGAGATGGTGGAGATGTGAAATTGCTGAACTTTAATCCCGTCACTGGTGTTGTATCACTTGCCATGCTTGGCGCATGCCGTACGTGTCCCTCTTCGCAAAATACACTCAAGGATGGAATTGCGCGTGTCCTTAGACACTTCGTGCCGGAAGTAAAGGATGTAGTGGAAGCAAAAGGACACGCATTTTATGAAAAGTATGAATTACTGTTTAATTCAGAGGAATCACTTCGTCGTGAGGCGGCACGAGTAGATAATGTACGTCGTCGAAATATGCATACCATGTTAACATCATCATTATTCTCATATGAGGCACTTCACGAACCTGATGGTGATGAATGATGACGTTTCTTCTTCTTTTCGTTTATTATTCCCTCTCTCTTTCTCTTTCTCTTTCTCTTTCTGCTGTTGTATCTCTATTGAAGGAAACAGAGTGGGGAGAGGGGAAGGAAAGGTACTTGGAGTTGAGTTGAGGGGTGAGTAAAGGTGATGCCGTGTGGAGACTTTTCGGATTTGGTTCATTTACAAATGAAATGTTGATTCCTTTCTTTTATCGTTTTCTCTCTTTCTATATCTCTATTTATTTATGTATTTCCTCCGGTGCATTTCCTTTCATTCTGAACTTTCTTCCCATATGTGTATTTGTTTTCCTTCTTTGTTGATACGTTTGTTATATGTATTCTATTTTTTTCTTTTTAATTTGTTTCTCTATTTCTTTTATCTGCGCTGTCTTTTTTTTTTTTTTTATTAGTTTCTACTATTTTTTTTTTTTTTTTAACGATCTGCTCTCACTTTTACAGAGAGACGTGGAAAAAAAAAAAAGGAAAATAGAAAAGAGAGAAAAACTTAGTGGAGGTTTATAACATACATCCCAAAGAATTAAAAAAAAAAAAAAACACCCAAGGATATAAACAAGTAAACACATTAAATAAGAAAGAAGAAAGAAAAAAAAGAAAAACAAGCAAACATGACACTTCGTACACGCTTTGAGAGCTCTGATGATGTTGGTGTGTTTGCCCGCCTGACAAACGCCTATTGCCTCGTGACTGCCGGTTCCTCGCAGAACTTCTACTCCGTGTTTGAACAGGAGCTCGCCAGTCACATTCCTGTGATCTACACATCCATCGGCGGCTCTCGCGTTGTTGGCCGCCTCACCTGCGGCAACCGCCACGGCCTCGTCGTGCCCTCCATCACGACCGACCAGGAACTGCAGCACCTGCGCAACTCCCTCCCCGACAGCGTGAAGGTGCAGCGCGTGGAGGAGCGACTCAGTGCGCTCGGCAACTGCGTCGTGTGCAACGATCACGTCGCCCTCATCCACACAGATCTCAGCAGGGAAACAGAAGAGGTGATTCGCGACACTCTGCAAGTGCAGACATTCCGCACTTCCATTGCAGAAAACGCGTTAGTTGGAACGTACGCCGTAGCGACGAATAAGGGTTGCATGGTACATCCCAAAACACCAGCGCAAGATATGGATGAAATTGCCTCACTCCTGCAAGTTCCCGTTGTGGCAGGTACAATCAATCGCGGTAGTGCTGCTGTTGGATCTGGTCTCGTGGTAAACGACTGGGCGGCTTTCTGTGGATTAAACACAACAGCTACAGAGATCACCGTGGTGGAGCGTATCTTCCAACTTCGTAGAGATCTTGGTGGAGATGAACCAAACTTGTTGCAACAGTTACGTGACACTCTGGTAGATGAACTCGCTTAGTGGATGAATGAGTGGGGTAGACAGCGAAGAATACGAAATGAGTATTAACCACCAGAACCTCTCTGTCATTTCTTTTTTTTGTTTTGTTTTTTTTTTTTTT